AACAAGTCGTTTGCACATTTTTATAAGTCATATAAGTAACTTTCAAAAATTTCGCGACCCATTCTTTATAAGATCTCACTTACAGAATACATGTCCATTTGCTATTCTTGGTTACAGTTTTCAACTTCTTTCATTTGATATTTATTTGACTCACTTTTTAGGAAAATCCATGCCCAGTGGCATTTTACATCCATGGGGGTAGTTTCAATTATGACTCTGCTGTCATGTTCAAAGATGAGCTGCTTGTCAATAATTTTGGCGCAAATGGTAAGGAAAACCTGCCTTTTCTCGTTTCCTAAAGTACAATGCTTTATTCAGATATTGTGTTGGTCATCCCTGGATTTCGGCTAGGTTTCCTTGGCCTGTTGACTTTTGGTTCAGACGATGTCGTTCCGAGAAATATCGGCGCTCATGGTGACATAGCTATTTTGAACCGGGAATTACACATAAATCAAAATCTGTTCAGATATTCTCGCTGCTTTACAATTTGTCAAGGATGAGATCAAAAATTTTGGAGGAAATCCCGATGACATCACATTGTTTGGACATTCCGGTGGTGGCACAACAGCTGCACAATTTGCGTTGTCGAAGCAGATTGATCCTGATCAAAAGTTAGTGAGAGCTATTTTTTATTAATACTGAGTTCTAAGCTAATCCAGAGTCTGTGGTATGAATAACTTTTACAGGCTGTTCCAAAAAGCTGTGATGATGTCAATGAGTTTTGGATTTGCGGATGCAAGTCATATGCAAAATCTTACGATGGAGTTGGCATATCGAGCAAGGGTAAGAAAAGCTGGAGAATTTTTCATAAACAAAACTGCATTTGAATTAAAGAGACGATTCTGCGTTAGAAAAATTGTTTTCCTCAAAAATACAGAATTTCTGCATTTTACTTGAATATGTGAGAATTATGAATTATTACTGCACTACTGAGCTTTGAGTACCTAATTAGAGATGTAATCCGCTAATTCTATAAATATTTGTTATAGAATAATTACATGTTGCTTTCCAAAACTGAAGCTGGAAGAATTCCACAGAGTTTCAACTTCTACATTCATTTGATCTCACTGAAAATAGAGTGAAGCTTGGTAGGCCAAGAAAAATCCAGTTTTGCATTCAAATGGTATAATTTCTCGACTCATTAGTAAGATTTCGGAACCTAGTATTTTTTCATCTCAAGCATCGAATGAATATATTATGATTTTTTGCAGTGTGTTCCATCTAGAACTGTGGATTATAATTCTGCTGAATATGTGGAGGGAGTGGTCCAATGTCTCAGAAATTTGGACAGCATGGAAATATTAAGGTCAGTGATATATCTGAAATGAATAATCCAAGAAATGGGATAACGTTCGCGTGAAAAGTTGACTTTAAGTAATAATTCAATCAATGGATGAGTCAACTAGAATAAAATGTCAAGTTGCAGTAAGAAAACAAAAGAGTGGGTGACATAGATTTGAAGTATTCCATATGACGGATCAGTCCGGTTTTTTTTTTTGAGATAAAAGAGCGACGTGATTGACGCATAAGACGGTCAGATACAAAGTGATAGATTGGGGAGATTCATGCCAACGTCTGAAAAAAATCTAGAAACTGATAAAGAAACCCAAACTTATGTGCTATCTCAAGCTAGTTATTATTCCAAGCAATCTTCCTAAATGTTCACTGATAAAGCCTATTTTCTTTCCAGGATACAAAGACAGATGGAAGATGAGGACGAATGGCAGAAACCTGAGTTTCTAATTATGACTGCTCCACCATTCGATGCTAAAGATTTGCAAGAATTTCTTGCAAATCCTAAACCACGAACAATAATGACCGGAACCACGCTAAGAGAGATGGATGATACTAATGACCCTGTTGAATACAATATTGTGGAGTTTTTGGGGATCAAAAATCGTAAGGAAGTTCTGAAGCGGTTTCACGACGATAGAGCTTCTAATAGGCTGCGTGAGTTTTTTTTTTGGAGTGGAAAGCTAGAAGATTTAGCGCTTTTTTACAGCTTTCAATCACTCAGCTTCAACTCAAGCAATGTTTTTGTCATCATATGTGATTGGACATAAAATAAGGGAAGCTGGTGGAAAGGTAAGTCATGTACAGCCATCGTCATCTGGATTACTGTATCATTGTAAAAAAAA